ACCAATATGGCGGCTGGAAAATAATGTAAACGTCTGGAACTTACTTTGCCTATCTAGTCAACCGATTATCTGAACTGAGCCAACAAACAACAAATGCACTTTTCCTAACACTTAGACTCCTAAAAAGGCCAAAAATCACAAGACGAGGGTATATTTTTCGACAGGCACGATCGGAGATGTAGGTCACGTACCACCACAACTGTGAACTTCAAACTGCGCTGGTTTCCAAACCAAGCACGCTATTGAGCTAAAAAGTTAAAACAGATATGAATTTAAACCCCCTTATGCCTGATGAGGATAAAAATTTTCGTGGCTCTTTAGTTTTAAATTTTGGAATCTGATGACGTCATATGAGAACGATCATGCTGAAAAGTAATCTGCAGATCAAAATGCATGGATCATGGGAGAGGTCCACAGCTTGATTGCATATAATTTAGATATGACTCGCCTTTTAAATCAATTGCCAGTGTCTGTGTTCTTGTTATTGGCTTATATTAAGAACAAAAGATTTCCAAATTATACCAAAAATTACAGTTCCTTCTCCCATACATTCTTATTCATTAATCAAGGCACAGACTGAGTACACAGTGGGCCACCCTTGGCAATATTCCACGAAGCTTGCTGTGGAACTTTTCATAACGCTTTCGCCTTCCACTTTATCCCTTAACATACCGGTTCGCCGAGTTCACGACCCATGGACTGAAGCCTCTTCATCCGGGTTCTCATGATCTCTCAGTCTATTTAACAATTATTCCACGAGCGCGCGTTGGATATGAGATGATAGATAGCCAACGAGGCGCGTAGCGCCGAGTTGGCTATAATCATCTCATATCCAACAAGCGCGAGTGGAATAATTGTTTTACTGAAAACGCCCCCAAGAAATTATTATTTTGTAAGAAAAAACCGGATTTTTTAGCTCCCTTTGATTTTAAGCTGACGCGTACGCTTACCATATTTGTAGATTATGGTATATTGGCTCATATACCATGATGGCTAAACCAATAAAAAGTCTTGAATTGCATTATCCAATGATCCAGTTTTTAATAATAGTAGTTATAGAGCCTGAATGAACTTGCATTGCAATATATGGAACTGAATCGAATAACAATCTTTTGTTTTCTATCACGAAAAACAAATGTTCTTTAAAGTTCGGTTGTCCTTTCAGAAGTCTTGTTGTATCAGCACAGGCGGCCCAAGCTCTCTTTGAGAACCACTCAAGGAACACAATTTGCATATTTATGAGGATTTGTATGGGATTTTCTACAAGATATCCACAGAGATAGTGAAAAGTGAAAATATTAAATAAAAATGGCTTACCTTGTTCTATACGTGTGTTGTTTGTTCCTGGTGGCGTTATTTTACCGATTTCACTTGATTTAAGCGTTTTTTTTTTAATCCTGGTTCTCTATCACATAAAGTACCAGGTAGAGTATGGTAGAGAACCAGGATTAAAAAAAACCGCTTAAATCAAGCGAAATCGGTAAAATAATGACACCAGGAGCAAACAACACACGTATAGAACAACGTAAGCCATTTTTATTTAATATTTTCACTTTTAACTATCTCTGTGGATATCTTGTAGAAAATCCCATACACATCCTTATAAATATGCAAATTGTGTTCCTTGTGTGGTCCTCAAAGAGAGCTGGGGCTGCCTGTGGTATCAGCGTTCATTTGATGATCACGGGTGCGAATTGACCTGTGGTTCGGGTAAGAACGACACAAAATGGGTACGAATAGTCTGAGTACGAAACGTCCGTGGGTATGAAACGACTGAATAACATTTGTCTTACCATCTTATTGTAAAATTTAGCCCCGCGACTAATATTAACAAAATTAACTCCACAGTGGTTAAAGTTTGTTGTCGAAGTTTTATCCCCGCAGGATTTTCGTCTTTTCAACCAAGAGTAGAAAGGCAGACGTTGACTAAAGATAAGATCAATTATTGTTTGTTCCCATCACATAAATAAATGTGAGACTAGAAAGAAATTATTGGCCGGGGGTGGGAAGTAAGGAAGGGGGGGTTAGCCTGTACCCGAGGTACTGAGATGGAGCTCCCTTTCGCACGTAACACTGTCTCCAGGTCCGCTCAGTACATTTTAACAAGAAAGTGTGGAACTTGCCAGTCACAAAAAACTATAAAGAACTGCGAAAGGAAAATCGGTCTTGAATTTTCATTCCTGAAAGGTGAAAATTTTCAAGCTGGTTAAATATCATTTAATAAGTTCAAAATGCCCGCTCAACTTTCACCAGAAACAACCCAGGTGGAGCCATTGTTTGACCTTGAAACGTCATCTGTCAGGAGAGCCCAGCAAGGATATGTATATCTGGAGTGGCTTACTAGTACTACAACACTGAAAAATGCCATAAGATATGCTTCTTTTATTGCAGATATTATGTAGAGTGTTTTACATTACTTAAAAAAAAGCTTAATGTGTTTCCATTATGTAGAGAAAAAAAAACGCTCATCCTTGCTCTAACAGAATTTCCATTTTCAAATAACCGGTCTATTAAATCATAACAAAGGTGTTCCCATCAGCCACAACTCCTCTGAATAGCGCTTTTTGTTTCTTGTACGAGTCGAAAACATTAGCAAAAGAATTAATTTGATTTAAGTAACACTCTATTGAGACGGTTCTCTCCGTTTATAAAAAAGCTCTTTAACAATAACAGCAAAATGGTTATAGTAAATACATCAATAACAATGCACTTGATTGTTTTCGAAACCAAAATTTAAGCAATTTTTACGACATGCCATACTACATTACAAGATATGTCAGCGAATCAATGATCTTGTCGATAAATGACACTTAATTGAAAGGGAAATACATTAGTTGTAGTTTCTGCTCCATGACTAAATCAATACTAAACAATTAAATATCTTGACAAGTCTTTATCACCAACAGGGAATACTTCATTAGAATCATTGCTGACCAATCTTCGTATTGTTTCACATATAACAGGAGTAAATAGTTTGCCTAATAAAGAAATCCAAATAACGAGCTGTTTTCTAATTTCTTATTCCTTTTTTTTATCCTGCTTTAATCAGCTGGATCAATATTGAGTTGTTTATCAATTGTAACTTAATAAAAACCTGACTTAAAAGTTTGTTATTAAGGACACAGCTTTGGTTTATTCTAACGCAATAAGACCCTTAAATTATCACCGTTATCATCAATACACATTTTCTAATACTTGATGTACTACAAAGTGACTGAAATGTACCCTAGCGGCCAGGTTCCTAAGCAGTATTTAAAATAGCAGCGTCTAACGACGGTCGCTGGCCCATTTTCCCAATCTCTTTGCCGCGGCGTTCGTTGTAGTTCGTGCTGTTGGTTCGGCATCTTCACCTCCGAGATCTTCAACCTTGGAGTATTTGGTCGTGTCATAAGATTCCATGTCGAGCAGGTGCAGATATGTCTAAGGGCGAAATAATAATAATAATAATAATAATAATAATAGTAATAATAATAACAATAATTTTTTATAGCGCAAATTAACATGTGGATATGATCAAATGCGCATCACTACACTTTTCGGGGGACTTTAGCCGGACCGCATCAGCAGTTTACAAACAATCGGAGGAAACTTATTTAAAGATGCCTCTTCCCTTCCAATTCCCAGTAAAAAGGCCAGACCACATCACAGGAATCTCGTGAGTGGGTTCTTTAACGTCACCTGCCTAACCAAATTAACTAATCAATAGATGCACGAGAGCAGGAAAGCAATAAAAGAGGTAAAAGAGCTAAAAGCAATAAAATATGATGCAGTTATTTATACGAGTTTTAAGTGCCTGTCTTTTTCTGGAAATGTTATTGATTTATGTTTACGCTTTATTTGTAATCTATCACTATTGCTGTACCTCTGATTCCCGCCCGCCCCGACTAGCTCCTGCTATTTGCGGGCGTGAACGGTCTTCATACTAGTAATATTAGTTTTTAGTAGTTTAGCATTTTAATTATAAATTATTCCTGCAATAGAGGGTTATTCATGAGCTTCACAATGTTCTCTAACGTCAAGTCAAGTTGAAAATGAAAATGACCACTTCAAAGTACAGAAAGGACCCTCGATTTAAAGACACAGAAGGTTGGGAAGAGAAGGTAAGTAGAGGGAATGGCGGGAGGGATGGAAATTGATGGGTTCGTTCGCACGAGAAATCTTAGCGTACTTTATGTTTAAGAGTGTTTATCGGTCAAAACTTAAATAACAATGATAAGCTAAGACAAATACGAAGAAAAGTAACTTCTAGCAGGAAGCCTTCGAAATAAAAGCTCAAAGCACCAAAATTCCCCCAAGCTGCCCTAATAGAAGTTGAATGAAACCAATACAATCCCAAATCACTTCAATTAATCTGTTGAAATCAGTGGTCCAGGAAGGGTTAAATAATCACTGAGCCCTACGTAAAGGAGACGTGTTCAAATCATGTTACGAACCTCTTCACGAAGGTAGGTATCCATTCTTTTGAGAAGGTTTTCAAAGGGAGGACGAAAGTCGGGGTTAAAATTCCAGCATCTTTTCATTATAGCATACCTGGAATTAAGGAAGGAAGGTAAATACTGGACTTTGTTTTAATAATTAAGTGATAGCCATCAACCCAGATATCTTGAAGCCTTTGCCATAAATGGTAAAATGTTAAGAAATGTCTGGCTATAACTGCGGAAAATTGATACTTTCAAAAATGTTCAAAGTGAAAAGAAAACTCTTAACAAAACAAGCTGATGGCCACTGCTAGCTTTTTCATTTAACAGAGTTAGTTAAGAGAAGAGACATCAGATTAGACACGAGACAATGTTTTTCCGCGAAGGAGGGGGGGGAGGAATTGGGGGATTTAAAATGAACCACGGTGTTATATAACTTGATAAAGGAAGACTCACAGTTTATCATCAACATGATCGGGCTTTGGAAGTTTGTAGCCACGTGTGACCTGTGCAACTACGTTGCCTTCTGACCATCCGTCATATGGAATTCCTCCTGTAAAGGAATAAAAAATGTCCC